AGTCCCCCCCCCGGCTTCCATCCCCCCCCCGCCCCCCTCTGCCAATGCCAATCACTACACTGGCTTCCATCCTCCCCCCCTCACTGCCATTCCCTCCACTGGCTTCCATCCCTCATCCCTCCCGGCCAATCCCTCCATTGGCTTGCATTCCCTCGCCCCTCTCTGTCAATCCCTCCACTGGCTTCTACTCGCCCAACAAATTATATTCAAAATATTAACAGAATAACATACAAAGCCAACCACAACTCTGCCCTCCAGCTATATCACCAACCCGGTGTCAAAATATCTTCCAAACCAACGCCTCCTGCTCTCTAATTCCCTCATCGACTCCTCCCATGCTCACCTCCATAGTGTATCCCATCCTCTGGAGTATCTCTCCTATTCTGTCCACCTTTAGGTGATCCCCGTAAACTGTTCTCTTCAGGGACACATATCCCATCTCTAACCAATTACTAAACTTTTACTATCTCCATCAACTAATCCCCCAGAGTTACTTACCACCTCTTTGTATTACTAGCCTCTCCCTATCACATTGTAAACTCTCATGAGCAGAGTCCTAAGCCTCTTGTATTGAATTGTATTTGTGACTGCACTGTCTCTCTCTTTATTTTTTAAAGCACTCCATAAACTGTTGGTGCTATATAAATCATATAGTATAATAATTTTCTTTCTATACTTCTAATTTTTCTGTTATCATATATATCATGTGCAGACAAGTAACACAATCTGTTCTTGCAGAATTCAGGAGCTGCCCCTCCTTCGCTATGTGCAGGGGAATCACACAAACGCTCTAAGGAAGCTGCTGGCTTTGAAGACCACTAACCTACTGCAAAGAGGTAAGTACTTCATCCAGGTTATTTATGAAAACCAAGAAAAGAGCCAAAAACAAGCTAACAAGTGCAACAATCAATAGTTAGTTATATCTGATATCTGCATGTCTTGTGGAAACAGTCCGCACCTCCTACTGTAGGCCAATGGGTACAGCGGGTCAATGACATCAAGCATATGCCATATGAAGGATCTGTCTAGCTCTCTGAAGGGTACAGTACATAGGTTCTAGGCCACATGGTTCTATTGGGCAGAGTTCCTGGAATCGGACACCTGCAGACAACTACGGGGAGTTTGATTCAATGTGACCCTGGTTTGGGGCACCCCCACCCTATCCCCGTTCCTCCTGGCACTCGTTGGTCCTTTATCCTTTCACTACCCCTCCATCCCTGTGCCCTGTCCCCATGTCTTTGTGCATCTGTGTCTTTGCTGTGCGTCTGCTGCTTGTGCGGATTTCCTTTCTCTTTTCTTTCCGGTTTTCTCATTTCCTACTTATGTACGTTGCACCTAGATTATGAACGCCATCAATGCCTAAAGTTTGATTTTTCCATAGCCCTTTCGTGGCCGGAATTCATGGCGGCCGGAAGGACCTCCTTTTGGAAATGTCTTTTGTTTTACAGTGTTCACTTGTTATGCTGTGACAGTATATTGTCTTTGACTCAGGTATATGCAACACTACGTGCACTCTCTGTTACGGTAGTCACGGACCTCCATTCTGATTTTTCAGTTGATTCTATTTCATCACTTTATTTTTGCATGCTGTTGTACGTTACTCTATCATATGGCATTGTGGTATTGACATTTTCTTTATTTTTGTATGTTTTATATCTGAAAAATTGTTTAATAAAATAAGAATTTATATTTTTAAAAAAAGGGTCTTCTGACTGTGTACTACGGGTTGCAGCACCTTCCATGCTGCTCTTTGCACAGCACATAAATACTGTATGACTATGCCATTTCTAAAAATACTAGGTGCCTGGCCATAATGCTGCTCCTGTTGCTCTTTTTTTATTACCGTATTATCCGCTCTATAAGGCGCTCCGGACCATAGGACGCAGGGATTCTGTGACAGAAGCTGCAGTTAGTGATCGCTGAGACAGGTGGCGCTGTGATTACAGCGCCACGGTCTCAGTAATCACACAGAGCAGACGAAGAACGGACTTTCTTCGTCTGCTTAAGGGGCTCTATGGTGAGCTCCTATGCCGTGGTCACGGTCCCCCAGAGGAGCGGGGGACCCCGAAAACCGCGCTGGGGGTGTGGACACGATCGCAGCCGCTCGATTTAATACAAGTGATCTAATTAGATCACTTGTATTAAACCAGCAGCGGCTCCCACTGTACATTCAGCTCTGCTTGTCAGGAGCAGGGCTGAATGTACAAAAAAACTACTCGCCCGGTGCCCGAAACTGCATGTCCCGGGCGTCGGGCGATAGGTATTCGCTCCATAAGACGCAGGCACATCTTTCCCCTCCGTTTGGGGGAAAAAGTGCGTCTTATGGAGCGAAAAATATGGTACATCTATTTTTCTTAACAGATTTAAAAAAATAAATTCTAATGCAACAAAGCATCTGACACTGGGAGGGATACATAGTCATGTAAAAGATCCGATAATCAGGTGGCCGTAGACACATTGGGGTAATCTGTGAGGCTATCAGCATATATAGATCATAATCTACTTTATAAATGTAGTCTTACAATGTTGGTCTTACTTGCTGTATATATTCTCATTGTCATATTGACAGTGTCTAATTCTGGCTGTTGGGTCTGAGCTAATCAATTCCTTGGGGAATGTCTAGTCAAGACATGGGGAGCTAGAGTATAGAAATCCAATGAACTATGGCTACACCACTGGCCTTGAGTGCAAGGCAACAATGGGCAGCAGACAGACCCGATAGTCCATCCAACTGCTCACATAAGCTGCATAACCCTTAGATTTTTGACATTTTTTTTTTTTTAAAGAACTTTGTTCACACAGCATAACACATCCTGCCAGACTGTTTTCCTCCTCTTACGCACTTTTCCCAATATGGGGCTTAATCACAGAGATCATGATTAAGCCCCACATGGAGCAAAATGTACTGAAACATGTTGGAGGTGGGAGTACAAGTGAAGCAAATGGCAATCACAATCATCATTCTCAGCACACTTACCAGCAAGCCTGCAAAAAAAAAAATACACTGTCTAACTAGCATTTTAGTTGCACACCTTTTGCAAAATATGTGGAAACCATACTGCTTTGTCAAGGCCCCTCTGTGTACTGTGGTCCTAATGGGCTACCTCCAGGCGAAGCTGCACAAAATTTAACGTTTGATATACAGTATATGTTCCAAGACGGAGGCTCTCATGGATTAGAGTTAGGACCACACTACACATATGGGCCTTGACGAGGCAGTGTGGCCTCCACACTCCACATATTTTTCAAGAGGTGGAGCACAGTCTGGTGGGATTTGCTATCCACTGTAAACAATAAAGTTCATAAAAAAAAAAAGAAGAAACACAGAATCTAGCAGTTGTGTGGCTTATGCATGTTGTTGGATGAACTAAAGTACAGAGGAGGAAAGGATGGGAAGGGCAGTAGCCAACAGAGGTTGTCACCTAGGTGGGTGAAGACGTAAGATAGGAAGCGGTTATGAAAGGCAAGAAGATGGGAGAAAGGTGCTGGTTGCTGCATGTGTTAGACTTGAATTCATTTTGTTACGAGTTCCAGGTTTGGCACCTAAGCCAACCCAAGTGATCCCACCTGCTCATTGCTGTCCAGAATGTTATTGATCCTGGCTGTTAAGGATTCTATAAGTTAAAATCTTTGGATACGGCTATATAAGGGCAAGTGTGGTTGGTCCATGGGTTCCCTTCCAGTAGGAGGCAATTAAGCACCTTGATGCGATCAACTATCTGGAGTTAAGGGGTTGAGTGTGGCGTACGCTCTGCCCAAACCCGCTGTAAGTTAATCACATGTGACTATACACAGTTCTGAACCGAGCGTAGGCGTCACAAGGACGTGACAATACCACTCTCAGCCTCACCCTGCACAGAGATTTCCCAGCTCGCGGGACCCAATCTCAGACCAGCAGACTGAGAGCGATCGTCACCAGGGTTGGTTAACGCCGCAGTTAAACCTTGACCCACAAACGTTCGCTGCCATCTGTTGTAAATTATGATTGAAGTAGATATATTAGGGGTATATTTAGGGTGTATGCTCATGTATTGAAGGAAATTCTTTGGGCTGATGTTCTTTAACACACCTATGCTAACTAGGTTTTTATTGTGTAAGTTTCTTGACCAGTTGACCATCCTGTTTTGTTGATTGTACACAATAGAACAGCTGTAGGAAATGTTGTCAAAACCTGTTTAGTTAACTAACATCAAAGGGATAATTAGACCAGCCAATCAGGAATCCATTGAGTGTTAGTGAATGGCACTAAACTGTATATGAAGGCAGAACCTAAAGTGGTTAGGGGAGATCAGAGTGTGGATAATTAGACCAGCCAATCAGGAATCCATTGAGTGTTAGTGAATGGCACTAAACTGTATATGAAGGCAGAACCTAAAGTGGTTAGGGGAGATCAGAGTGAAGGTGCCCATACACTGCTCATTTCTCGTACGAGAATCGCGGGAAATCCCGCGATTGTACGAGAATCGTGCAGTGTGAACGGAGACGTGCGACCATTTCTATTAACCCTTAGATTTTTGACATTTTTTTTTTTTTAAAGAACTTTGTTCACACAGCATAACACATCCTGCCAGACTGTTTTCCTCCTCTTACGCACTTTTCCCAATATGGGGCTTAATCACAGAGATCATGATTAAGCCCCACATGGAGCAAAATGTACTGAAACATGTTGGAGGTGGGAGTACAAGTGAAGCAAATGGCAATCACAATCATCATTCTCAGCACACTTACCAGCAAGCCTGCAAAAAAAAAAATACACTGTCTAACTAGCATTTTAGTTGCACACCTTTTGCAAAATATGTGGAAACCATACTGCTTTGTCAAGGCCCCTCTGTGTACTGTGGTCCTAATGGGCTACCTCCAGGCGAAGCTGCACAAAATTTAACGTTTGATATACAGTATATGTTCCAAGACGGAGGCTCTCATGGATTAGAGTTAGGACCACACTACACATATGGGCCTTGACGAGGCAGTGTGGCCTCCACACTCCACATATTTTTCAAGAGGTGGAGCACAGTCTGGTGGGATTTGCTATCCACTGTAAACAATAAAGTTCATAAAAAAAAAAAGAAGAAACACAGAATCTAGCAGTTGTGTGGCTTATGCATGTTGTTGGATGAACTAAAGTACAGAGGAGGAAAGGATGGGAAGGGCAGTAGCCAACAGAGGTTGTCACCTAGGTGGGTGAAGACGTAAGATAGGAAGCGGTTATGAAAGGCAAGAAGATGGGAGAAAGGTGCTGGTTGCTGCATGTGTTAGACTTGAATTCATTTTGTTACGAGTTCCAGGTTTGGCACCTAAGCCAACCCAAGTGATCCCACCTGCTCATTGCTGTCCAGAATGTTATTGATCCTGGCTGTTAAGGATTCTATAAGTTAAAATCTTTGGATACGGCTATATAAGGGCAAGTGTGGTTGGTCCATGGGTTCCCTTCCAGTAGGAGGCAATTAAGCACCTTGATGCGATCAACTATCTGGAGTTAAGGGGTTGAGTGTGGCGTACGCTCTGCCCAAACCCGCTGTAAGTTAATCACATGTGACTATACACAGTTCTGAACCGAGCGTAGGCGTCACAAGGACGTGACAATACCACTCTCAGCCTCACCCTGCACAGAGATTTCCCAGCTCGCGGGACCCAATCTCAGACCAGCAGACTGAGAGCGATCGTCACCAGGGTTGGTTAACGCCGCAGTTAAACCTTGACCCACAAACGTTCGCTGCCATCTGTTGTAAATTATGATTGAAGTAGATATATTAGGGGTATATTTAGGGTGTATGCTCATGTATTGAAGGAAATTCTTTGGGCTGATGTTCTTTAACACACCTATGCTAACTAGGTTTTTATTGTGTAAGTTTCTTGACCAGTTGACCATCCTGTTTTGTTGATTGTACACAATAGAACAGCTGTAGGAAATGTTGTCAAAACCTGTTTAGTTAACTAACATCAAAGGGATAATTAGACCAGCCAATCAGGAATCCATTGAGTGTTAGTGAATGGCACTAAACTGTATATGAAGGCAGAACCTAAAGTGGTTAGGGGAGATCAGAGTGAAGGTGCCCATACACTGCTCATTTCTCGTACGAGAATCGCGGGAAATCCCGCGATTGTACGAGAATCGTGCAGTGTGAACGGAGACGTGCGACCATTTCTACTGTACGGTCGCACGTCTTTTGTCTAAGGAGCACGCTAGCAAACCAGCAGAAAATCGTACGATTTTCAGCTGGTTTGAACGGTGCTCGGGAGACAAATGCCGAACGGGCCGGTGTGCGCTGCCCGTTCAGCATTGCGGTCAACGGAAGATAGTCTTGCGATGATCGAGAGTAAGATCTGCCTGTCCAAGATGGGCAGATCGTACGTTTTTTTAATCACTTTACAACCATCGCAAGACTGTGGTCTTGCGATGGTTGTACAGTGTATGGCCACCTTCATGAAGAGAGGCACATAGGTGCATGTATAGATTGGAAATATATTCTGGGTAGATAGAATGGGTCATCATGGAACCTTTGTCATCTAAGGTCTAGACTGTTTCTGTTCATCTGTTACTTTGATCCAATTAAATGCTACTTGGTTGAACTGAGGTTGCCTGGATATTTCCTGAAGGTCCAATTTTCGCAATGCACATAAATAAAAAATAAATCATTAAATTAAATAAATATTATAAATAAAC